ATCTCCAAGTCTGCTTTAGACACAATGTTTTTAATTTTAGCAATGTTTCTTAGGTGGAAGTAAGCTGATGATGTCACAGATGATATGTGGCTATTGAAATTCAAGTCTGAGTCCATTATTACTCCTAGATTTCTGACCTGAGTTGAGGGTTTCAGGGAGAGAGACTGGAGGTGGCAGATAACGCTCTCTCTTTGTTTCTGAGGTCCGAAAACAATAATTTCAGTTTTTTCTGTGTTTAGCTTCTTCCAAACAAATGGATGTTAATTAAAGCAGATAGAAATGTCAAAACACTTTAACCTCTTAGAACCCGCCGTCATTTTAAAGCTTTTTTTCTCATCTAAATTTATATACAAGTGTAAATAATATCAGACTTTGCATTCAAAAGATATAACACATAATATGCGGATGTGATTTATTTTGTGCCCATACATTTTTTACCTTTAGTTTTGTACAGCAGAAACAAATGAGACTTCCCATCCTTGCTATGGCTCTTTCCCTCCGTAAATGTCCATGGAAAAATAATATCCACTTGTATTTTCCGAAGTATTATCTATTCTGGAGAAATAATACAAAAAGGAGCATTTATCTTTAGCGGAAATAAAGCCTTCTAAAAGAGCACAGAGGCTGCTCTTTCACTGTTAGCGGACTTTCAGCTTTGTTTATCACCCACACACAGGGTATGCTCGTGTTCCCCAACTCGTTAGTTACAAAATGAGACCTTCGTTGAGGAGATACGTGGCTGCGTTAGTCTGCAGCAGCCCTGGGAATAAAACAAGCGAACACATGTTGCGCATGGTTCATCTGCATTTGTTGTTAGCCAGACGGCTAGGGAAGTGTTCTTTTGTCGAATGATTGACATGTCTAAGTAGCCAATAAGGAAAGCTTTCTAGCAATGGGTGGGACATGGGGGTACTGTGTTGATTTGTGTCAGTAGAAGCGTGCGTAAAAGCAGGGAGAGAGACTCTCGGAGCAGCGAATATATCATCTGCATTTACACTAATAAATTAACTTTGAAAAAATGTTAGAAAAAAAAAAACACAGATTAGTAACTTATAAGTTCCAAAAATAAGAAATAAGGTTTTTGTGATGATGAAATGTCAGTAAAGCAATTTGGCATAAATTGGTTCCGAATGGCACTACTTGATAAAAAAGAGAAACTGCATAAAAACAATAAAACTTAGAAGTCTGAAACTTTACACAGTTGTTTCCAACAACACAATGACCATAGGGTTTGAACATTGTGATCTTACAATGAAGTATGCCTTTTTAGGGCCTCTCGAAATTTAAAATTTTAAGCAAGGCTAAAAAAAGTTTTTGTTCCCAAACTTCAACGGATGCAGAGTGAAATAGGAATGACATAACATTATTTTAGTTTATATTTACATAAACTAGAAGGTTCTAGCTTTAAAATGATGGATCACACAAGCATGTGACATGTAAGATGTGTTTTTAAATAAGCAAAGACATTTGGGTATGCCCAACTTTTGTGCACAAGCCAAAATGAGGCGGGTGTATATTGTACTTGAAGGACGACCCAGAACAACCAATTTACCTAATTTACTTCCAATGTAGCACAACTTGTGTAGAGCTCAACATACAGAAAAGTGCTGATGAACTCAACATTCTGGTATTCTTTTCAATTAATATGGCTCTTTGTGGCCAGGTGTAATATCAGCTTTTTCAAACAAGTATGTTGTACCAATAACTGACGATATTATTGGGCTGAATGAGACATTCAACAGCAGCATGTATTAGCCTGTGAAATCCTCGTTTTCTGTTGTGTGTATGTGTGTGTGTGTGTGTGTGTGTGTGTAAGGCACAGAGGGCCCTTAAAGCTGAGGTATGTGAGGCCATGTGACGCTGAGGGGGTGTGGCCCTCAGGTATCTACAGGTATTACACAGAGTCAATCCTCAGTGACTCATTGGGTCACATAGTTGCAGTGCAGCACAGAGCTCAGTCTGACAGAGAGGAGACTACCACTGCAAGTGTTGGGCAATTGGACTGAAGACAGATTTGGAGCTGCATTCTGGTTCCTTCAGACTTCTCCGGCAAATTTCATTGTAAGGACACGTTTGGTTTTATTGTTTGAAGTTTGTGGCAGAAATGACAATGCCAGTGGTGAAGGTGGAGAAGGGTTCTCCAGCGGACAGTAGTTTGTCATCATCCAATACTCCTTCACAGACAGAGGATCAGCCCAGAGGACGCAGGAGAAAGAGACCCCTGCAGAGGGGCAAGCCCCCATACAGCTACATCGCCCTCATCTCCATGGCCATAGCAAACTCCCCTGATCGGAAGCTCACCCTAGGAGGCATCTACAAGTTCATCACAGAGCGCTTTCCTTTTTACAGAGACAATTCAAAGAAA